TGAAGAAAGTACATCTACCTAAGGGACTAACTGAAACAAATAATAGTTTTTTTTTTTAACAAAAACTACTTGGTTAAGGTTGAGGAACGACAGCGGTCATGGTTAAAAGGGTTAGGTTATCCTGCATGTGTCTTGGCCCTGCCCACTATTCTGACACATCAAAATCAATCCAACATAAACATTCCATATATAAAACCATGCAGAGACACAAAAATATGAAAACATACAGGACCTTAAGATTAGGAAAATGTAGCAAGTTTAGAGTGAAAAGGAGTAGCAAATATCAAATCGTGAGACCTTCAACCCAAACCCAAAATACAGATCATCAAAGGTTTTTGCTCTGCTCTCTATCTTTGTGAGGATATTTGACGGACTAAAACCCAGATACATAACAACTGATGCACACACACAGACCATGAAGGCATACTTCCATTACAATCACACTCCATTAGTGCTCATGTTAGCTCTGAGTCATTCATCCCTTTTTCAAACCCACTGCAGGCCTGTGCACAAATGTGCACATCCTGTTCACCAGCCTCAGCTCTGATCTCTGAATCAGCATTTAACTGTGAGCCAGGCTCTGGCTTGGTAATAATGGTGTCTACATGCCTCTGTGATTACTCGTAGGAAGAAAAAAAAAACATTTCCATGAGGAGGAAACATTATTACGGTGTAAGGAAACTAGTTTTCTTCCCTGTATTTAGATGATATGTGACCCTGTGTGTGGCCACATCAAATCATTCACTCTGGAGGTTTATTGCATTCGACAAATCAACTCATTCTGATTTAAATTCTGATTGATGAAACCACAGTCAGCCCCAAGGACACACAGTGCAAACACAGCAAAGGGTAAAAATAGCAAAGAAGAGGATCTCTGTGAGCTTTTGGGAGCCTCAAAGACACCTTGTTGCTCCCTGACTCGGCAGCTGGGAAGTTAAGCCTTGAATGGATGACTTGACTCCAAATGTTTTTTTTCTCCAGATTTATCCAGTGTGGAATAGGTATTAATTAAATGTAAAACATTTACAATAGAGAGAAAAAAAGGGAGGGGGGCTGGCAGAACTGGAGTTAGGGAGAGCAGACTCAACAAGCTGGTGAGGAAAGCCAGATCAGTGGTTGGGCTGGAACTGGACAGCCTGGAGGCAGTGGCGGAGAGAAGTATGAAGTTCAAGATCAAAGCCACCTTGGCAGATGGATCTCATTCAGGCACCGGATCATCCCACCTAGGTGCATAACGGAGCGCTTCAGGTGCTCATTTGTCCCTGCTGCCATCAGACTGTACAGCAGCAGTGGGGAGCAGACTAGCCAGTTTATGAAGTGTTAGTGTCATGAAGGTGAATAGACTGGAACCATACATTCACCCTACTTGTGGGTGTTTATGCTAATTCAATTTGGTGTATGTGCTAATTTAGCATCCACTGTGTTCATGCTCAGGTCATAATAACAACTGAATTTATTTTTTATTATAAGTAAATAGCCAGCCTGGCTGTCCAAAGTGAAAAAAAACACCTATGAACACATAGCAAGCTTAACATAATGCATCATTTTGTTTAATCTGTACATGAAAGGAAATGTAAAAACAACGAATAGTGAATTACATGTCACATCACATGATAGGACTATTTCTTGACAAACAGCAGTCTTCAGCTGTAGCGCAGGATGGCAGAGAAGGTCAGTGAGCATGGGTTTTGGTTTTCGTGCCAAGATGGTACCAAAAATGGCGACCTCACCGTGATTTCAAGACTTCGGGGAGCGGCCCACAGTCACTTCGCAAATGACTCATGTTGGACAAAAATAGTTCTCTTCTAAAACCAACATTTCAGGTATCTACTTTTTCAACAGGCCATTTCATTTAAGAGTATTCTTTTCACACACTGCGCACCTTATCTTGAGCTCAATTCCTTAAACCCAAGTCAGAGACCTCCAGTCGATCAACCAGTGAAGAAGTAAAAAATGCACTTACCAAAATATGGCAAACATGTCCTCACTCTGAAGGTGTACGATTCAAACAAGGACAGAGGTACAAGAACACCCAACCACACACACAGGCACACACATGCAGAAACAGCTCTCTCTTGACCACTGACCCCAGGCACCCTGCTAATGTTTACTCTAGCTGCAGTCCCTGTGCACACAGAAATACTGTATATCAATGGGACTTCACATGAGCGAGAACGTGTGGAAAAATCTTCCACGGTAAATTAACCTACAGTGAGTCCACATGCACCTGATCTAAGCTGTGCAGAAAACCACTTAAAGCCCCCGTATGGCCAATCGAGAGAAAAAGAGACCAATAGAGGGGGGGGGGGGGGGGGGGGGGGGGGGGCGCTCCAGACAGCAAAGGACAGAAGAGGCAGAGCTGGGGGAATAAAGGACAGTTGGAGGCGTGAGGAAAGAGACAGCCCAGAGTTAGCTGCAGAAGAAAGAGGCAGGCAGATAGTAAGTGATAGATAGTGAGGAGGACAGTGATGAGAGAACAGAAGAGCAGCAGAAACTATCCAATCTATCACTGTGATAGCATCACCTCCAGCAGTGTCCTCCTTTCTTGCTCTTCCCTTCAGCTCCTGCACCACACTATAGATAAACGGTGCTCCAACACAACATGAAGAAAGTACTGTTTACAGTTTCTGCAAAATACATATACAGGCTGCCCCCCCACAATGTTCCAAAAAGTCAGTTTTGAGGAAAGGTTGTATCGCATGATGTAACTCATCAACCAAACACGGTGTAAGCCTGGTTTTCATCCTGGCCAACCTTCTTTTTATATTTATTTTTGAGCATTAAGTTGTTGAATTGATTTCCTACCTTTAAGGCAGCCACTGGTTTCAGTTCACTTGCTTGAGATAGGTAATCAATCACAGCCCATCACTTTGCTTTTTGTCAGAATTACATTATCATTGCAAGCAGGGACTGTTTTGAAAAATCTCCTCAATGATGTGTTCAAGGACAGTTGGGGATCTATTCCAAACAGCATCATTTTTAAAGGAAAAATATACTTTATTACGACTTGAATTTTATTTCCAAAGCTTGAAAGCTGATGGATTCCACAGTTCATATTAGTTCGAGATTTTAATTGTTCTGTTGGTTGTAATAGTATTGTACTCACCAAAGTAAGTGATGAACTGCATCTCTAAAAATAGGACCAATAGGGCAACAAGCATGAGCAGTCAGAAAACCCTGGGTGGTCATATTTATTTAGTTGACCTGCCTAAGTAGGTTTGCACATGCAGTCTTCCTATTAAATGAGGGAACTACTACACATTGTGAGTGTCTCTAGGTAAAGTGGTAGCAACAGTAATCTGGCAAAACTGTTGGCTTGCTGTCAAACAGGCAGACTGTCTGACCACTCATGCTTGTTGCCAATTTGGACCTTTTTTTATTGATGTCAATGCATTCCAAGATCTCAGCCATTACTTTAGTCATTGCTATTGTAACATATAAAACCAGAGCCACGAAAACTAAAACCCAACTAGTAACAAATCATAGTTTTCCTTTAAAACTCTTATATGTGTGGGATTTGAACATTTCTTATTTTGTCGACTCATGTTGGTAGCATAAATAATAAGAATAAACTGTGTAGCCATAACCATGGGGAGTAGGGTGCTGAGGGTGTTGCAGCAGGTGCAGGTTGTAACACCTGCCTCCAGGTGACTGAGGTATATACTAATAGTTTGTTTTGATTTTTGAAAGTGGGGTGAGCTTTCCAGATGGTTTCCAATAATATTTAGTATTGTGTCCTGTAGTATTTTGTCTGCATTGTCCTGATTGTTTGGCTGACAGGATCTCAGTAAGTGCTGTTAAGTGATTTACAGTGCAGTAAGTGACATTATGTTTGTCTGCTATTGTAATCAATCGTGTTTTTTCGAGCAATTTTTTTTGAGTTGGTTTGGATTTGTTATAGGAAAACATATTTGCGCAGCTATATGTGTTGCTGATAATCAATGCATGCCAATACTGTACCTGCAATTCCCTGCACTGCTCCAATAAACACTTTGATTGTCTCATTTTTCTAGAAAACAAAAATGTATGCCATCAGAAACACTTGGAAGACCGCTGTAATCACGATCAGACTTTTTCACTTGTGCAGCTCTTATAGTAACCATTAACATTGGGTTTCCTGCTAGCTCAGCAGGTTAAGGCCTGTGTCCCTGTCCCATTCTGACATCCTACCTCTGTCTCTCCTCACTGTAAACTGCCCAATAAAGCAGAAAAACCATTAAAACTGCGACGTATAAAATGCTTTAATTTCATAACGGCAATCTTGTAGTTATAGCAGGTGTCGCGCTTTCAAATGGCTGCCATCTCGTGAAGCTCTTTATATCTAAATTGTGTAATGCTTAATGAAGTGAGGCTTCACTGGCTGGAACAGAAACTGACAATAACAGTCATGCTATTCATGGAGACAAGTGAGGACTACTACCTGCTGATGCAAAACACTTTATTTTAATAGTTTTTTCTCTCCTCCCTGCCCTTGAGAATTAAGTTGTGAGGCTTGGGCAAAACCTCCGTCTTTTTCTTGTCTCTTGTTGTCCGTTCTCATTCCTGAAAGACTGGAGATGACTTTATCGCTGCGTGCCTGTAAAATTTGCTCACTACCAGATGGAAGATAGATGGCCATTATGCTAATGCTGTCCCCAAGAGTTTTCATGGTCATTCATTGTGGAAGGGGGACACTCAGATTGTTAGATTGACTGTCACTTCCAGGTTGACATTCAGGCACTGAAAGGCACATGTCACAGTCAGTAGAGACTGAGCAACAATCTACATTTAGGAATAGAGAAGCTAAAAAGAGGCATGCACATCGGCAGGCATGCACAAAAACAAATGCTGAACTAAAACCAGCCGGGATTAGTGCTTTACAGGGCCTTGTTGAGTCAGACCTTTGACCTGCTGGGTGAGGAGAAGAGTACAAACAGGAATAGATCGGGGTCAAGAGAGACAGACAGAGAGAGACAGTAAATAAAGAGAGAGAAGTTGCAGCAGGCATGTTGGCCTCCTACCTGTGTGGGGTTGTAGAGCTCCTGCAGGGCGTTGCGTGACCCCTTCCTACAGCAGCCGTCCACCACGAAGGGGTTCCTCCTCATGACTGCAAAACACAGTGGAGACACCAATAAGAACTGAGGCTCTTTCAGCCCAACCAACCCAATAGAAAGAGAGTAACAAAGAAGACACACTAGTTAAGACCCATCTCGCTCAGGAACACTGACTGATGCTCCAAAATACTGACTCTTGCCCTGTTAAGTCTTCAGAAAAACCTAAATATGCCATCTTCTCCGACTGAAATTTAGCCCGTTGTTGCAGAATGCATCCCCCTTTGAGCTTAATATCTTTGTTCCAAAATGAACAGCAGCCACCATGGCTACAAGTGGGAATTACAGGATAAGGCCATGTTGAATTTCCCTTTCATTTCTTCATTTCTCATGATTCTCTGTAACAAGTCAGTCTTGCTTCCAATTTATCCCAGTGGCATTGCAAAAAACCCCAACCCCCCCCGCCCACCATTATAAGAGAGACTAAAACTTAATTTGAAATCCCAAACTGCAAACAAGGTCAGTTAATGCACTTTGTATTATTAAATTAAAAACCATGAAGCTTTAATAGTTGTATAACATTTCCACAACCTAGAAAAGCTGTTTTTATGTGTGTGAGGTAAAGCCTGTTGGCCAAGCGAGCCTGGCAAAAGGCAGAGACACTAAGGCTGGAATTATGCTTCTTCGTTTTCTGGTGTATGCTCTCAGTGAACAACTTTCAATTGACTTTCATCATGAACAGGGTATCATCTTTGAGTTTAGTATGCATACATCCAGGACGTGTTTGTTGGAGTCTTGCAAACGCCACAACAACAAGTCCAACATGTGAATTTTTTCACATGTTGGATATGTTATTATTTCTTATTAGTTCAACTTCTCCTTTTTAATAAGAAGATTGTGTTATTTCTTCTTTTCAAAGTTACATAGTCTATAACCTTAAAGAAGCAAAATGGTTTAGGTGTTTTTTGGACGTGCATATTATGGTGCTATATGGACATAAATACCAAACATGTCCCACCAAAGTGGGAAATTATTTCCTTTTGACCTTTGCCCTTGTTCCCTTTCTTCTTAGTAGATATTTTAGTATCTTCAACCTACAGGAGAACCCTCATATAGCTGCACCGTTCCCCTGCCAACCCTCTACTTCTCTTCAGGTCTGTCCTTTACTGGGCTGGATTCCTCTGATTGACAGATTGAAGAGTGAAATCTAACTACTCTTTGTTTTGCTGTGGACCCCCTGGACCTCTCCACAAGGACACCACTTTTTGAGCCATCGCTTTAAACGACCAACTGCTGTGAGAAGGAGGCAGAAAGCTACAGGGATAAATAATGAGAGCAGTGACTGTATGCCAAGGGCGAAGCCACAGTTCAGCATTTGTTTGGCTGGATTCTCAGCTCTTTACACAACTCGATACAGAGCAGTAGCTGCTGGCAGCGGCTCAGTGGGAGCAGTCAGTGCAACACACCGCCCCCGCCAACACACTCTCTCCAATTACTCTGGATGGAAAAGCACTGAAGGACGGCACAGGATCGTCAGGAAAGAAAATGAACCACTAATGAGGAAGCCAAGGATTTAATGGCAGTTTATTCCACACGTCATCTGCCTCATGTTCATGGATGGACATGTGTTTCTGCCATCAGAAAAGCTGATGATGAGAATAACATTGTGATGCACATTCACACTTCTGGATACATTTCTACACAGTACATCTTCATCAGTACAACTCAGCAGTGAAGTTTGCCATTCACATTACAAATTCTTGTGATTCTATAATTATGTGAACATCAATTATGCTTTATTGATTCACTTATTTCAATCAATAACCTTAGCAGTTCAGCACAGACTACTCGATAACTTGATTAGCAGATAAACAGAAAATAATTAATAGATGGCAGTATTAATAGGCTAGGTGATTTATCCTCATTTATCAAGGTAAACAGTTCAGCATTTTATCATTTTAAGTTCAGATTTAGGTTCTAGACTGGTGGATGGACAAAACAAGCAAAAAAGATTTTGTAATGAATCATTTTCCCTATTTTCTGGCATTTTATAAACTAAAAATGTTTCAAGAGATGAACAGTAATGAAAGTTAGATGCAGCCAGGGCCATAGCTAACATTTAGGACTCTGATGACATGTCCTTGACTCTTTAGGGGGATGAACAATTTCATGACTGCATCCCCCGACATGGAAAGAACTCCACCATCACTGGACGGATTTCAAACAACAATGACACTTCATATCAGGTTTGGCATGCCTGGTTTATGGCTGGACTTTTTTAATTTGTCTTGTGTCAATGTGATCTGGAAGTGTTTCCTACTAGAACTAGAACCCAGAAGTTCCTGTTTCAATTCTACTGTCCATAGGGAAATTACAGACAAATCATGCATTGACATATTACACATTATTATACATACATACATACATACATGTTGCGCTCTTGATTTCAGAGGAATTTCATTGAAATAACTGCTTCATCTAAAAATAAAAAACAGAAAACAGAAAATCCAAATAATCAAAAAGAAGTATGGGTGGCCTAAGGGTTAAGGTACCGACCAACCGTAACATCCCCAGTAGGCCTAACACTAAAACCCTGTTTTGTTTAGTCAGTCTTGGTGTCTTGCTTTTATGTAGGAGGGGTGGGGGGCCTTTTACATGTCTTTACCCCAGGGCCCACTGTCTCATAATCCATTCATAATCCATTACATTTATTCATTTAGCTGACACTTTTATTCAAAGTGACTTTGCTATATATGCTGGAAGGTCCTACGCCTCTAGAGCAACTAGGGGTAAAGTGTGTTGCTCCGGGACACATTAGTGGATGTGTCACAGTTGGAACTAAACCCGGGTCTCTCACACCAAAGGCACATGTCTTATCCACTGCCCCATCACCACCCCATTATACAGGCTCAGTGGCTAATTATACACAATTTAATTAGCTACCACATACATAATCATGTATGTCCACAATGTTTGCCTGTATTTACAATGTGCAGTGGTGCAGGAGGCAGATTTGCACATCTGCTGTGTAAAGCTGATAATGTCACAGTTCACATTTGGTCATCTGCACACCTCATGAACTAAACTGTTACTGAACAAATCTGTGGACAACTATGTTTTCTGTGACTGTCAGTATGCTCCAGTTACTCCTCCTCTTTTAGATCCTATTGTTTTACTGCTGCAGTGGTCAAATTTCCCTTTAAACATAAATGAGGCTTTGTCTGCTCTTACTCTCATCTCACAGGTCAGAGGAACTTCAAAGCAAATATAGGATTCACGCATCTCAGCAGGCTGTTGATTTTTTAAAACCCTGGTTATAAATTAAAGAACGCAGTGTGCTGAGGTCGGCGCTGACCACAGATATACCCAGCATCCCTGTATGTGAACTGCAAATCCCCGGGGAGTGAGCTGAGCGCTTGTTAGTGTAACAAGCCCCAACAGACAGGCGTGACCTTCAAACACCGAGGGGGGGATAGAGAGAGGTGAGGGATGCCTTTACACCCTCAACACCCACACTCCTGTATATGCACAATTAATCATCCACACACACATACAACGAGATTGATAACCTTGTTGCTAAAGTCGGTCTTTAATAATGTAGTTCAAGACTGCATCCTATAATGTGGATGATGTAAACAGAAAATTACTGTTTTCTTAGAACACAACAGCTTTTGGGGCAATAATGCAATCACAGAATATTTGCTTTTTAGGCTCGTTTACACAGAAAAGCACAACACGGGTGCGCACGCACTTCCACTATCAGCAGGGTGAATCAGCAGGACAGTGATGATTCCTGATTGCTGTGGACACGTGCTTGAGGTGGAGCTCAGGGTAATGAGGATTCAGTCCTAGTGTGAGTATGTGTCTGATTGCGCCGCATAGCATTCATGGGTCCTAGAACTGTGGTGATATTTGCCAGCTAAAAGCTAAAGACTATACTCTCAAATCACAGTATTAATAAACAGTTCGATGCATAAAAAGCACCCAATCCTGGCTTTTTGTGCTGTGCTGTAATCAGTTGCTGCAACGATAAACTTCAATTCTGGGAAAACATGGAAAGCAAAGTCCACAAGCCTCTGCTCCATCTGAAGTCGTCCCCATCAAATCCATCTGAAACTGGTCAGAATTCCACTTATAGTATGATTTCGTTTTGTTACAGTGCAAATAATCATGGATGACAAGTGTGTTCATTTACAATCACAAGCTAGAAAGTTATGCTGGGGCTTTTCCACAGCACTTTCACATCCACAGGTCGAACAAAAGAGGTAATGGTAATGTAGTAATGGCATAAATCAGCCAGTGGATTAGTCTATATGATTAGCATGTTATCAACATATCACTGAAATAGTTGTAATTAATGGCTTTATTTATATCAAATGGTAGATAGATGACAGCAAATGAGGGGCTAGAGAGACAGGGAATGATATGGATCAAATTTGCTGCGTATCGTACCCTGTCTCTGGGTTCATGGGTGGCGCATTAACACTTAATGGTCCATTGGAAAGGTCATCCTAATGAATGGTCCTGCTGGAGGAGGATCAACACCATAACTTGTTCTCATGTATTGTAAACATTAATAGATGATTTATTCACTATTGATGAAGCTATTAGTTAGACCCTATTATCCCTTTATAAAAGTGGCACAGAAATTGTGTCAATTCCATCTCTGGTTGTGCTCCTACACACTGGAAACAATGCATTTTCTCTACTTTGAGGAGATTTAAGAATTTACCTTTTTAATCTTGCTTGTACTGAAAATGAATGTGTTGGCTTTGTAATGACATCAAATAAATAGCTTTAAATAAGCTGTAAAACCAGATAACAGTAATATCAATGATTAAACAATGACACCAAAGGTGTTGGAAATGTATGAAAGACCGAGTGACATTTGTTTGTTGTTGCAACCAGTTATGACGCATTTCTGTGGAGTCCAAATATCCATAAACATCACATGGTGCTTCACAGTAAATGCCCTTTAACGACGCCTCCTCGCTTCATGCCTCACACACAAGTGACTGAAAAGCATTGATTGTGAAAGAGCACTGGAAACATACAA